ATAAAGAGAAAGAAAATTAAGAGGCCTAGAACGCCAAAATAGTTGCATCTAAAAAAGTTACAGCTTTTTTAGCAACTACATCAACCACCATAATGGCCTCACAAAAGATATGACAATTGAACAATTCCATAATATTAGATAGATACTCAATGTGCATTGTTTATCTCTTTTTTTTTTTAATGTTAATTTTCAAGGATATTTATGAACGGGTACTAAATTATGTTTTTATTTTTTTGTGATGAATACATTGAACTTGGCATGTCTTTCCCATCATCCCTGGCGTCAGCTCATTGTAGTGTTTGTTAGTTGCTTAGTCATAGTAAAAAAGAAGGATATAAATAAATAATATTCCATATGCATATTCTTTCTTATGCTAAGGTGGCCGCCCACTCAGCACTAGGAAACAAGGAATCAAATGGCTTGAAAACTACCAAAGCTCATGATTCCTCTTCAAAGAATAAAACATTGGGGATGAGGATGGCTGCCCTTTTATCAAGCCCATCCACACTAGCAAGATGACTACTACATTGATATACAATAAAATATAGGAAAACATTTATATAGGGTGTCAACTTTATACTATACAAGTATGATACACCTAAATAACCTACTAGAGAATGTTATTTTTAAAGAAAAACCCTCAAATTGGTCATCTCGACATTGAGATTCATAGACATGAAAAAATGGGATTTTTAATTTTAAAAATAGTTTATCTTCTAACACATTATCTAGACCATCTATTTTCAAGATTTTCAAGTGTTTATATATCTGCTTATCGACATCATTTCTGGAACTTTAATTTTATGCTTAGGGAAAAACAATAGATTTTCATATCATTGTAAGGCTTTGAGGCACCGAAATTGCATTTTCGGCATAGTTTTGACGTATACCTTACTTTAATAGTATAAGACTGACATTTTATAGAAACTTCTTCTTAAAATAAGTTAAAATAAAAGAAAAGGAGAGAAATAATGAGGAGAATGTTAAATGCAAGGAGAGAAATTGACCGACGCATCTCACTTTTAACTTAGACCACCTGCTTCATGACACGTGTCTCATGTTATTGTATTGTGGTACACGCTTGCCAGCAAACATCGTTCGCAGAGGGAGATGGTGGACCTCTATATTTGATTTTTTTTTAGCATAACAATCCGGATTAATACAAAACCTCTGTATTTGATTCTCTTTCAGCATAAAAATGCGGATTAGAACAAATTCATTTGTTTTTTGTCTTGAAAAATATGAGCTTTATATACTTCTCCTAATGTATAAAATTTATCTACTTCGCTCTATCCAACCGTTCAATCTAAAAGGACAGTTGAGATGACCTCAATTACAATGCCACACCTCTACATTATTTTATGGTTTTTTTTTTATTATAAACGATTTTGACACCAAACTTTGGGCATCCACTTCTCTCGTAAAGTCCAACCTGTAAAAAATATAAAACAAATATTCTTAATAAAATTAAAATGACTAAAATGTCTAAAAGTTTTATGGGTATTTTGGTTAATTTATTTTATAAAAAATATATATTTTTAATATTTTTAAGGTATGCCTCATTGAGATGATGGCATGTACCAATTTTCATATTCATATAATTTGTAGAAAAATATTAAAAATAAAATACTCTGAAGCGTTGGATCTAGATCATACAATCTTGGCTCACTTAATCAAAATTGGACAGTTGGATGGGTGGAAAAGTATACGTTTTCCAACAACTGGAGAAGTATAGAAACATTTCCCTTATGCAAAAATACAGTTATCAAAAGCAAATTGGCGATACACAAAAGCAAATGTTTTTCATGTGCATGTATAGCGGCATTTTGCTTGGTAATGTGAATGGGCAGAAAGTGCTTTTAGACCCATGCCGACCACGAGGTTCAAATTTTCAGTAAGAGGTACATTTTTGCTTTCTTCTTTTTGAGTGCTCACTAAGATGCCCTTACTTTATAACCATTCCATAAATGATTCGATTATTTCTAGGATACCAGAAATCATGAACATTTTGGTAAATTATTTGAAAGCGATTAATTGAGATTTTAGGGCATATCTTGTTATTTCACACCATAGAACCTTTGAATGAATCATCACATAATTGAATACATAATATTTCAAAATTTGAAAGGTAAAGACCTCCACTTATATTTAACTCATAATTTTATATATTGAAAAATATTTTTGATTGTATGAGTGGGGGCAATGTTTTAAACTCGGATGGATGGATCGTTCACCCATGAATCTGTGTCGGATCGCTGGATAAGTGATCCAAAATATATTAAAACATAAATAAAATAAAAGAATCATAAAACTAAGGGTTTATGGTGTGGGGATTAAAAGGGATCTAACTAAAACAATAGATAAGCTAAAAAAAAGTGGGGAAAAAAAAAAAAGAATTATAAGAGGGGAAGTTCTAGGGAAACCGTATATCATGTTAGAATCGTTTCGGTCCTAACCGATTCCCATCTAAATCGATGATCCAGATTGAAAATCATCAGGTTTTAAAAGAAAGAATGGCTTGAAGTGACATGAAAACAATTTTTACATATCAATTGCGACCTAACAAACAAAGTGTGCACCAACTTCTGATATTGTTCTCAAATTAATCTCAATGTTTCCATCAAGATTAAAAAGCATTCCAACAATGTTATCATGTAAGCTGACAAATACTATTGATTACAACTTGTGACATTGTTATCAGTTCACTTCCACCTATCCAACTAAAATCAAGCGACCACCTGAATAGCGACACTACATAAGAGATGTTAACATCCCACCAACTTTGGTATTGATTAGGCAAATAAATGGCTGTCACTTTGAATCTAAGGCAGCTAGCCCTATATATGTAATACTTAAAATGGAGATAACCAAAGTAATGCATTCTTACCACGTAAAAGTGGGTGTCACATTTGGAAAAGAATTACCTCTCAACCAATATTGGACTGCCACGTGGCCAATGGTCCTGGCAATGCATGCCCAGGTCATCTTAAAACCCTCCACGTTTGATGCTTTTCCATTTTGAATCTTATTGAGATGAAAAGTGGGTCAAATTGAATTTAGGCAAGAACTTAGGTATGGTATGGTATGGCATAGACTTATTCAAAAGTTTCCCATATGTTACTACGTGGCCTTTTTGTTTATGTTTTATTGTAGGGTGAGGTTTTGGATAAGGTGTCGATATCATACTGTACAAGTATCGTGTACCTCTCAATTTTATCTAAAGCTAGTCGTTCAGTGTCAAAACCTTGTAATGGGATTATAAATCTATGTTCAACCCCATTATGAAATTTAAAAATTAAAAAATGTATGCCTAACAGATGTATAAACACTTTAAAATCTTGAAAGTAGAAGGTCTAGATAATTTGTTACAAAATGCACTATTTTTAGGACGAAGATTTTTTTTTATATATCCATATCAATTGAAAGATCTTCCAACTTTAGAGCACTATTGTCGATTGAATTTTTGAGATGCACGTTATTTCTATGGTATAAAGTTGCAATTTTATATAAACTTTTTTTTCTGTTCGATTTTGCCGCTGTGTTTTATTCAAAGAAAATAGTTTGATAGGGCTGCAACCCTATCAAAATAACTAAAGCCTTGCCTTATAACTCATAGAAAATTGCAATCCAACAGTTGGAAAATCTTTAAGTTGATCATCTCCGACTATTATAGTTGCGAAAAAACAATAAGGTTTCAAGCTCTAAAAATAGCATATATTATGATAAATTATCTAGACTATCCCTTCCACCCTAAAAATAAGTGTTTGTAGATCCATCAATTCTATACTATTTTTTGGGTTTTAAATTTTATTGTCAGGGTCAGAAATTGGTCTTTCTCAAGCGACCCATACTTTTGTGGAACGACTAAGTTACATGGTCAAAAAAACAAAAAAAGAAGAAGAGGAAGGGTAATTTCTTGCCTATTATTTTTTAGATCTTTTATCTATCATTAAGTATTATTTTATAGTGATAAAAAACAAAAATACTCCTTTCACTGGAATCATCCATACCTCGAGGATAAGGATGCATCTTAGCAACTAATCATGCTTAACCACAACTTCATGGCTCTCTACAAATAATTTGTTCCTTTTCACATGTTTTAGTTTTAATTTGTTCCTTTTCACATGTTCTAGTTTTGGAAAAGGAAGATTATTTTACCCGGGCTGCACCTCATGACTATATATGCGGTCTAAAAAACATAAAGCATCCATCTTAAAGATGGATACATACAGGTAGGTGTTTTATACAAAAACAATAGTAATTAACAGTCAAAATGTTTTTTTTACTAAAATCATTATTTTTAATTTTTACAATTCATTTTTTTTTTATATCCATGATCTCCATGTTAGAGATTACATGTTTTTAAAAATTAAATAAAAAAATCTATCTTAAAAATATATTTATTAATAAGTCCATATTTTTACATATGCATGTTTGGTCGTATTAAAACTGGGTCTTTTGAAAAATAGTTTGATAGGGCTGTAGCTCTATTCATATCATCATGGATATTTTTGTTGCCAAAAATACTTTTAGGATGAGGATTTGAGATAAGGCTCTGTATGGTTTTTCTAAAGCCCAAAATTTTATTTATTTATTGATTTCGAAAAAGAAAAAGAAAAAGAAAAAAAGAAAAAGACAAAAGGCTGGGCTTTGAGGAAACTTCATCGTTTAGTTTTTGTGTGAAAGCTGGAGTACCACGTAAACCCCAACGTGGTTAAAAGGAGTAGACTTGAAAATCGCTTTATCAAACAGCCTCTGTTTTTTTTATTGATTACCCACGTGTCATGTGCTTAGGATCGATCCATCGTCTCTTTTCTCTCTCTACACTGAGCATCATCCATTTCCTCTCTCTCCACTGGCAATGAGCATGGCCCATTTGAAAGAGAAGCCTCCTTTTTTGTTCTTTTCAGTGTTGAAAGAGTGGCCTCATTCCTTTCTTCTAATAAATGCATCTCACACTTGTTTTTCTTTGAAATTCATTGCTTTTTTTTTTGTTAATCTCTAATGAGTGATGACAAAACTCCTGCCTATAAATTGGCATGAGAGCCCCCCTCTCAAACATTTCAAACTCCTCCTCTCCTAGTCAACAACCCCAAAAATCTCTCTCTCTCTCTCTTAAAATCCCACCTTCCAGTTTCTTCTCTCTCTCTTTAAAAATCCCCCCTTCCAGTTTGCTTCTCTCTCTCTCTCTCTGTAAATCCCCCCATATTTGTAAGAGTAAATGGTTGTATAAACCATGGCAAAAAACCTACCTCCAGGCTTTAGATTTCATCCTACTGATGAAGAACTCATCCTTCACTATCTTAGGAATAGAGCTGCATCCAACCCATGTCCTGTATCCATCATTGCGGAAGTTGATATCTACAAGTTCGATCCATGGGATCTCCCTGGTTAGTCTGCTCTAACAAAACTAAGAACCCAACCCCCTTTGTGCATGTATGCATACACTTGGGTTGATCGTCTCATTCATGTTAATATGCTTTCTCTTTATCTCTTGATCCTTAGTTTACAAATACTTAACAAAGGGTTGCAAGGACTCCAATTGGGACTCGCTAGGACCCGATTCCGAGCCGCCTGACTCGACTCAGAGACTTGGCTGGTTCCCAAGTTTTTTTCTTCCGAATTTGGCGGCATGCCGAGTCCAAGTAGTTCCTGCAACCCGAAGGTTTTGAAACACTGATTAAACTAATTTGGTGTTGGTGTTTTGTATGTTGGTTCAGCAAAAGCAGCATTTGGGGAGAGAGAGTGGTATTTCTTCAGCCCAAGGGATAGGAAGTACCCAAATGGAGAGAGGCCCAACAGGGCTGCAGCTTCTGGGTATTGGAAGGCAACCGGCACTGATAAACCCATTGTTCGGAGCAGCAGCAATAACAATAACAACCACAACAACGAGGGTAAGGCAATAATAGGGGTGAAGAAGGCTTTGGTCTTTTACAAGGGGCGCCCTCCGAAGGGCATTAAGACCAACTGGATCATGCATGAGTACAGGCTCAATGACCCCAAATCAAGGCCTTCAATCCTCAAACTCAAAGGCTCCATGAGGGTGAGTGGCCACAGCTCCTTGCTTCCTATCTTTAATTTTAATTCGGGGAAAGTATATAATGAGACTATTTATTTTTGGTGCAAGTGAGTCACAATTAATCTTTTATCATTGAATGTGAAATTTGGTGGCTACATTAATATCAAAGTTCGAAAGAAACTTTTTCGAATTTACACAAGAGGATGGTAGAATATCAAAGTTCAAAAGAAACTTTTTCGAACTTACCGGAGAGGAAGGTAGAGTAATAGTCTCCACCCACCAAAAATAAATGGCCACCCACCAAAGATAAATGGTCTCATCGTATTAATTCTTTTTAATTTTACTTTTTTTATCAATTTCACCCGTATACTTAGGGATCAAAGAAAGTGACACCAATAAGCGTCTCAAATTTTTTAAAGGAAAGTATACAATGAAGCTATTTATTTTTTGTACAAGGCGGTCACAATTAATTTTGATCTTTAGATGTGAAATTGATAGCTGCATTTATTCTATTGACTAAATTCAAAGTTAAAAAAAAATCAATTATTGTAACAAATTCAAGCCATCAGATATCAATGGAGGTTTATAAGTAATTGTAACCTTCATGTCTAAAAGATAAATGGTTTTAAACAAACCCAATTTTAAATTGGCACAACTAAAATACCATTTTAAGAGGTTCAGGGCTGTAAACGGATCGAGTTTCTATTAGGTTGGGTCAATGGGTCTATAGGGAAGGATATTATAAGAAAATATTGTATGTAATTAATACTAATATATGCAGGGTTGGGTCGAGTTGAACTCGACTTGGACTTGGTATGTCCACATGTAAGGTCCATGGGCATATACCCTAGTGTTATTCTATTAGCCTTCGGAATTGTGGGTGGTTTCCTATAGCCCCTGGTTTAAGGCTACCGAATAAGATTGCTTACTAAACGCTTGTTAATATCATCATCATCTCTCTCTAACTTAGATATTCCTCTATTAGGTGATCGGGTCCTAGTTAGCTCAACCTGAGCCTCGATCTCCAGTTTGGTGATTGGGTCCAGTCCATAGGACCGGACCTGCTAGGGTTGGGGCCAAACCCCACCCACTAGGTTAGGGGAAAACCCGGACCCAAAATTTGGTGGACCACCAGATCCACCAAACACACTTAGAACTCGGTGATGTCAAGGTTGGGTTAGACTAGACTCTAATATGTGCCCATCCCAAGGTTGGGTCAGACTAGACTCTAATATGTGCCCATCCCAAATGAGTCTAGTTGAACCCCAACCAAATCGGGTCCATATCCATTAGACCCATAACCCATCGGGTTTAGCAATCCTATTCTCTAAGTCTCAGGAAAGGGGCTGAAGTAATGCTGGTAGCATTCTTACACCCTAGTCACCACGATGTAGTTTTTATTCCCTCACATAATTACTAAAAAAAAACCGACTCCTAAACTATTTGTGCATATCTTCCCTCACATAATTATTAAAAAAACAAAAAACTAAGTCTCATTATGAGGAGCAAAAATTTCAGTTTCTATAATTCCTGTGGTCTTGTCCAATCGTGAGATATTAGTTATGTACAGGTGAGATAATAGATGCTTAGTGGGCATCAAATCCTTCAAGTGTCTATTAGGATTAAGATGTTTTCTTACTTTTCGTAAAAAATGCAAATCATCTAGGATTGTTGGGATGAGAAGTGTGGCTACTTTTGGAAAATGTAGGAAGAGATGTTTTATTCTCTCCTTACTCGAAGCTGAATATTTTATACCCATGCAGGAGTAAATTGTTCATTTACTCCATTGGGTAAAGGCAATCTATGATTAACTTTAGCACCCTAAATTATTTTGGGGATGTAACCTTTTCAAGCCAAAAACTAATATTAATACAAAAAAAGGAAAAAACCCTTATGGTACCCTCTATGCATTAAGAAAATGATGTCTTAAGATTAAACAAGGACTTTCTAATTTTTTCAGAGGGTGATATCCAAGTCTTCGAAAATTCAATTTTTTTCTCATTTGAAAATAATCATCCGGTAATTTTTAAATAAATCCCAAAATTTCAAATTGAAAAAAAAAAAAAACTCCCAGCAAGCCTTTTGATCGATGGAGTAGATCTATATTATGCTCCCGTGGGAGCATAGTATTAGGTTATAGGATGGGATGTGGGTCCCAAAGTACAAAATATGATACTCCACGCAACACGTGTGTCCATGATTTTGGTATGTGTCTTCCACGTGTGCACACTCGGAAACGGAGGCCAATATTTTTGTTGTTGAATGGTAATAGGGAAGCATGTCAGATGCTGATCAATTTTGGTATCTATCACTAATATATGTGGCATAATATGCTCCCACCTATATCTATGTCTTCATGGCATGTGCTAAATTCATAGGAAATGAATAAAATAAAACAATTATTTTTTTATACAAGATGTCACAGTCATCATTGACTGTTAGATTTTAAATCGGGTGGTTGAGTATGTGTTATTGTTCAAGAACAAAGTCCAAAAGAAAATTTTTTGATTGTTGTGAGACATTTTTATCTATTAAATTTCACATCTAATGGCTAAAAGTAATTGTGACATCTTTGTACTAAAAATAATTGTGACCTCTTTCACATCCAATTATCTATTAGATTTCACAGCCCAGGTCTGGCCTATTGCCACCCTTACACACCACACAAGCCTTATGTTCCAAATATTTCTCTTACATAAGGGAAAACCTCTTATGTGTTTTAGGCACACATAATTTATATATGTCTAGAGATTCAAAGCTGTCTCAGCTTGATCGAATGGTGGGTAATGAGCCAAAAACATTGTCACATGCCAATACTCATGTTTTTGTCATGCTAATGGATAGTATTATTGTTGGGTCACTCTGAACGATTCAATCAAGATCGAACAGTTGGATGTCTCGAGACACACAAAATATATCTAATTTGAGACACGTTGAAAACTGTGCTTATTATATAGTACTAACTGATACTATGTATTCCAGTTGGATGAATGGGTGTTGTGCCGCATCTACAAGAAGAGCTATCAAATGCAAGAAAAGAACATGATAGAGCCTGAACATCAAGAAGAGGAACCAACCCTTGAAGATGTGTTGTCTTCCTTACCAAGCATCACCAGCCAGCCCTCGCTGAAGATCCCTAGATCAGCTTCTTTCACTCAATTCTTGGAGACAGTAGACCAATCAATGCTTTCGCGTCTCATATTCGGGACCACCAATGATTCTTCCGAAGAATCCGAGCCTACAAACCCCATTAACAATAGCAAAAATCACCACCACAGCAACATTGACATCAGCAACAGCAACAACAAATACCAATCTCCACTAGAAACATCATCTCTAGCAACTGCTCCGCAACCAGAGATCGAGCAAAAAAGACCTTATTCCATGATGGCTAACGGCCCAAATGATGGTTTTCTCCCTTCAAAGAGACCTAACCTTTCCATGAACAATACTAACTTCAAAGAACACCTTCTGGTTCCTCAGTACCAATTCCATAGCTCTGGAGCACCATACCAGCTGAGCCAACAAACATTTTTCAATAACCACATACTGCTCAATCCTCTACTCGAGTTTCAATAAGAGCAAATGTGCATATTCTACAAAATAAAACAAGGAATTTCTCAATGCCGTCCTATTTAGGTCGGCAGTTGTGAAGCTGAAAAATTAGAGCTCTTCCAAGGGGTCATCCATTCAAGTACCATTCACTTACATGAGCACTTATTCTCAATTATGATGGTGCTGGTCTACCTGCTGTTCATCAGCTACACATTAGTGTAGAAGAGTATTGGTACATGGATAGATATGATCTATGCACCACCGGACGCCGGGATGATGGTGGAACATCAGATGTCGAATCCATGTGTTTGGGCCTCATGGTGGATTTTTGAGATTATATAGTCATGAGACATGTACCAATATGTTTTAATATGTTATGGTTGCCGTGTTGTGCAGTGAGGAATGAAGGTTAATGTGTATTTTGGCCAGGGTGGATTTAGGTTGAATGCCATTGCACAAATCGCAATGGTGTTTTATAAACGTAGAAAACTCTTAGGGGCTGCTTTTGCTACTTCCGGGTATTGCTCGAAGGGGTAGATCCGATACTGAAGAGCAGCTCTGTATATTTGTATTTTGTTTAGTTAGGACTTCATGGGATTGGAATTTGTAACTCTATTCATTCGATCCAAGATTGAATTTAATTTCGCATTTCTTTTTCACCATTCATTCGCCCTTCTCTTTGTTAGCATTACATATGTATCATGTATTTCAATACACATCATTATGGATATGTAGTTGGTATCTATCCATAACTGTTATTAAGATGTATGTTTATTCGGGTTTTGTACATTCTTAATCTATTCATTGAATAGAGAGAAAAATATTTTCTCGTATGGTATCAGAGCTGTTCTTTGCAATCTGCTCGATCTCTGATCAGGCCCTTCATCCGCCTGTTGCGGTGTTGTTGCCGAAGGTCCCCGAACTTGTAAGGCTTGTAAGGCTTGTTCAGCCTAATTACAGCTTATCAAAGGCATGAAAAAGCCTGTCACTCGCTGTGAATTCTGCTGCCTAACCCCTGCAGCCTCTCTTTCTCTAAAAGTCTGCTCTGCTGCATTCGTGTCCCATTCCACACTCCAAAGCATTGACCCTTTTTAAGTTTTCATATCCCTCAAAGCATTGACCCAAAAGCTACTATGCTGAGAGCACCTCTCCTCTCTCCTCTCCACTGATCCCTTCTCTCTCCTTTGCATCATCCCAAGCCCCATTGTTACGAACCTTCTTTGAAATCCCTAAAATCTGATTCGCAATTGCCCCTCTAAACTCTGGCATTTGCTGATCTGCTGCCTCTACGATTTGTGCCTGAGAAACACGCCGCCATGTGCATCATGTTTTCCCACCATTCTTCTGTAATTCTCTTTGGCTTTCTCTATATTTGTTTCTCTCACTAAAGTGAGGTTTCCTCTGTAAATTTGTTTTCTCTCTGAATACTTGTTTCCTGTTTCTCTCACTAAAGTGAGGTTTCCTCTGTAAATTTGTTTTCTCTCTGAATACTTGTTTCCTCTGTAAAGTGAAAACGAGTACGCGAACGTGAAATTGGCAGATATATATACAGACACATTGGGAAACTTATATATATGTCAATTTCATGTTCTGATATTGCTTATGCAGTATATGTGGTTAGTCAATTTTTTAGTGTCTCATGTTCTGCCCATATCGTTGCCGTTTTGCGCATCATTCGTTATATCATGGATTCTCGTCACTAAGCCTTATTTTTCTCCTCTTCTACATCACTTGAGCTCCGAGCCCATACAGACTCTGATTTTGCAAAAAATTCGAGTAATAAAAAATCTACTACAGGATTCTACAATTTTCATAGTGATTCTTTGGTCTCTTGGAAAAGCAAGAAACAAAAATATATTGTTCAATCAACTACGGAAGCTGAATACCGAGCTATGGCACAAACTGCCACCGAGATTGTTTGGTTATGTTGGCTGCTCGAAGACATGGGTGTCACTCTCTCAACTTCTACTCCACTTTATTGTGACAACAAGAGTGCCATCTATATTTCTAAAAATCCAGAGTTTCATAAGTGGAAACATATTGAAGTTGATTACCACTATATTCGACAAGAATATCTCACGGGCACAATTTTCTTACCATATGTGGCCACCGCTGCTCAACTCGCCGACTTCTTCACTAAGTCTCATCCCCCACATCCTTTCTCACAATTTGTTTCCAAACTCTCATTGATTCCTTTCAAAATATCTTGAGTTTGAGGGGAAGTGTTAGCATATACATATGAATCGTATATATCAATACACATCATTATGGATATGTACGGGTATAGGTGTCCATAACTGTTATTAAGCCGTATATTTATATGGGTCTTGTACATTCTTAATCTATTCATTGAGATCTTCTCTCACACTCTTCTTAATGTGTAGTTTCTGTGGGTCCTTTTTGTTGGTGCTGATAGCCATGAAGAGTAAAGAATTTCAACATTTGGAAACAGTGTCCGGTTCCCCTGGTCCGAGTCAGATGACTCCCGAGTCTGTTTAACAATTTTTTTAAAAGAATAACCTAGGTAATAGGGGCTCGTTTAAAAGAAAAAGAAAAAAATAGAAATGACCTTCATCTTGTCTAATGCTCATCAAAATACTCAGAAAGGACTTGTATGAGCACAGGACTTATATGAGCTAATTGTTAAAAACTTTGGTAACAAATATCAAGTATGTTTAAGGGCGTATGTTATCATATTTTTAGAATTCAGAACCCTCTAAGGTGATTTGATGTCCTTGCTAGGGTTTTTCGAAACGGAAATTCATCCATAACTCCCTGTAAAAGGTTTTTATTTTATTATTATTATTATTATTATTATTATTTAATAACCTAGTAAATAAATGTAGCATCAACTTGATATTCTTTCTCAATTGTGGAAAATTTGCTTCTCTTAAATATTAAGCGACAAGAGAAAGCATTTGTTATAACTACTAAATGACAATGGCGGTTAGAAGATAGTTGAACTGGTGATGTAATAATAATAAATGTACATGGGTTCCTGTTGTAGCTCACGACTTTTTTTAATTCTTTTGGAAATTTATTTAAGTACCGCAAGAGATAAACTACACCCTTTAATATTTTACCCATTTGTAGTTAAACAAATCATGATCATGTATCTTTCAACTGGTATTTTGAAACCAAATCAAAAGACATGAGTAAGATGTTAAATAGCTTGCCTCTAATTTTTTTTAGGCTTCTTTTGCTTAAGGGAGCTAGTTCTTACATCCCATTCATAGGCTCTAGACCTGAGGCTATAATGGGTTTGGTTGGTCACGCGGGTTGGGTGGTCTGGACCCAACCTGACTAGGTCTAAGAAAAACCTGGGCCCAACCCAGACTTTGGTTGAGTCACAATACCAGGTGGGTTCTGGGTATGGGACTAAAAAATATATAAATTAATATATATATTTTAACAGATATTGTTAATATAAAATTTACATGTATCGTATATACTAGGTTGGGTCGATAGGGGTAACCCTAAATTGACCCGCTAGGGCCCAAGCTAGACCTATACTGGAATCAGGAAGGGTTAAATCCAGGCCCAACTAGTTGGGCCCATTATCTGTTTGAAGTCCTAGTTGACCCGACGTATTCCCACCCTTGCTTAAACTCATTACTCTGAATGGTTTGAATAAAATTTTGAGCACAAAAATAAGCTACTTTGATTTGGGCCAGCTTTAGACTCATAAACCCTTTTATATAGTCCTTTAAACCGAGTTTGGAGTGTTGTAAGCACGATTTGAACCTATCTCAAGCCTGAGAAAACGAGGTGAGTTGCGTTAGGTAGGCAGCCAACATAAAACTTTGTCACATCTTATCATGAATTTTAAACCTATAGATCTTACTGAGGGTATGTCCCTTGATAAAAAAAAATGAAGGAACATGATTCATGTAGCTGACCCCAAATAATTGGGATAAAGCTTGATTGATGATGATGATTTGGAGAAAATGAACAATGTGGTCCTAGGGGATCACATACCTTTCCCAAGTTCTATCTCCATTACTATTCCATATATCATCACTCACTACCATGTAATGTTTGGCTTTGCAATGCGTTTGCATTTTATGTAGGGTGCTACTTTTGGCTCATGGGATGGTATAGGGTTCAAATGAAGTCAAGTGGTGCATATCCACCTTCTCATTTATTGTGCGTTGTATTTAATTTTAATATTTCTTACGCATTGGATTCAGGACATGGTTTTTATGAAGGGTGCAGTTGGGATACGGATGCATCCGTAGGTGTAGTGGTAAGGTGCACCTTCAAATTTTATCATGGTATATAATTTTGATGTAAAATGTTCTTAGGATTATCTCAAAATCTGTTTTATATCTAATTATAAAATTTTAAATTTAAAAAACGGTTAAAATCAAGTAAATCAATAAACATATGAAAATCTTGAAAATGGACGGCATAGATAATATGTTGTAAAATGCTCTATTTTTTAGATTTAAAATCTTTTTATTTTTCATAGTCATACATCTCGATGTCGAGATGATCAATCAGACGGTTTTTCAACATTAAAACTATCTTTTCCAATGGATTTTTGAGAGGCATCCGTAGTTCTACATTATAAGGTTACATCGTTCTATACACTTTTTCCTTTTATGAATCCATGTAGAAATGGATTACTTCTCAAAAATCTACCTTTAAATATGGAGATATTCATGATAAATAAATAAATTTTAAAAATTACAAAAATGATTCTATTAAGAAAATATTTGGATAGTTAGTTTCAATTATTTTTAGATGGACCACCTATTTGCATCCATCTTTAAAATAGATGACTTATACCTCGGGGACTGCAAATGAAGAAATGTGGTCACCGCATGAAACAATTTTCCTTGGATGTATATGAAATCTTACCAATGTACTCGTCACATCTGAATGTTCTAGGGTACTTTAGTTGATTTATTTTTAAAAATTAATTTTCATATAATTTCTGGTGCATTTGATTGAAAAATGTGCATGTCTAAAATTTCAAATCAATCTAACTATTTTTTAAACAAATTAAAAACATATGTGATTGTGGCTGTTCACTTTATTGTAATACGAACCGTTGAGAGGTGCTTCCGAGCCGATCAGATGATGTGGACGCCTTAAATTTTCTTTCTACTTTGGACCAAAATTGCAATTTTTTCAGCCGTCAAACATACAAGAAAGGGGCATCCCTTGATGCGTTGTTCGTTTGTGATGATGTAAATTCTATATTGTAATCCTATTTTTCTTCTAACAAAGTTTCAAATACTGTCAAAAAAAAAAATAAAAAAAAATGGGGAAAGTGATTTCACCAGGGTTTCAAGTTTGGACCAAGAATCCCAAAATGATGGGTCAGGTTAGGGTAATGAAATTCTGGGAACTAAGACCGAATCAAGTTTGGGTTGTGACCGGACCTTAACAAATTTCCCAACCAAGAATTGAGTCCTGATTCTACATAAAAACCCAAGTCAACTTGGCAATACATTTGGCTAGGCCGGCTTGGATTGGGATTCACCTAAGTCTACCAGGATTTCAATCTAATCATTACAATGCGGCAATGCTTTGTGCGCCAAACCTTCTTTTTTTTGTATTTTTAAAGGTGAATCAGTGAGAATATCCCGTTCTATTAAATATTCAAAAGTGATTTTACATTTTATACAACCCTTGACAAGGATCATTAGCAACATCATATAAAATGAAATGGTGCGCCAACACTTAAATGGTGGTTGGATGTAGAATCCACAAATACCCACGACCTCATTATGGGTATCCACATCACGTA